ATAGTTGGATTCTCCCTTCAACAAAACATGAGTGAGAATGAGTCCACAACTGTCATTGGACGTCAAATCATAAGGAGATATAGTTTTGTGAGGCTCAATTTCATCATCGGACGAAGAAGGGGGGTCACTCTTCTTGGACATAGCTGTTGCAGATGATCAGAGTTGGAAGAAAAAAAAAAAACAACCAGCTCGATGCCATGAAGAAGATGAAGGGGCGGCTGGCATCAATCATCAGCCGAAAATCATTATTGATCTAATTAGGGTGTACATATATATATATATATATATATATATATATATATATATATATATATACTAGTCTAGGCCGTAACTAAGTAAATCTAAACCGTAAACATGTAAATTAATATTTACATCCGTAATATAAATAATGAAGAAGACTTGATTGCCAAAATCACAGTAGAACAAAAAAAATAAAAAACATTGAGTAAAACGTGAATGTGGTTCGTGAGATGTGACGGGTGTTCTTACCAAGAGCTTTCCCGATAATAAACAAAACACAGCTAGTTCGTGTCGAGGTTTAGAATAGAAAGCAATTGATCAAAAAAATTAAAGGGGATAATGAGGACAAAAACCAGTAAGAGTTTACAAATTAATATAGGCATTAGTCAGAAAAGAACAACAATTAATGAATGAAAATTGAAAAATCCGGTGGATAAACTGGGCACGAGACCAACTCCTCTACCTCTTTTTTAATATAATGCTTACATTTCTGGTTTAGCTGATGAGTGTGAATCGTGATGTAGTCCTTAACTTGAGAAAGTGACAATTTTTATGATATATTGATCCACTGCGAAAGAACCCCACAACAAAGGTCAATCTACATCATTACATGGTTGTCTCCGATCCATCAATTTTCTTTTCTTTTCTTTTTTTTTTCTTGTGTGATCCATCCATATGTTAATTATTATTAGTACAATTATCATCATTAATTTTATGACGACCCCATTAAAAAAATAAAGATACGCACATGATGAGGATGATGACTACAAACAACATCGACATCGAGAGAGAGCAGGTCACCGCAGACCGTTCTTTGTGCTATCTTTCATCTGCTTATTCTGCATTCCTCATCCTCCATCATATGGTTTTGGATTTATTTATTTTTTTCAATAAAGATAAATTGAATATGAACTAACATTTCTAATTACGTGCTTGACATCAATAATAACGAAAATGTATACTTTTCGTTTCATTTTATTTAACTAAATCAGTATTATGTAACAAAACTTCCATTAAAGATTAATGGACCAAAAAAGGGTTGGTTCTTATAAAAATGGAGGGACCGGAATCCAAAACGTTTTCACGAGGTGTATAATTTGGTGGACTTTCAATTTCAAATTTAATCACTCACGAATATAAAGGGGGGAATATATTAGTATCAAACAAACATAAAGGAAGACGAGTCGAGAGGTAAGGCTTTTGTCAACGTAATAAAATGAGGTAACGTCCGGTACACGCCATTGGCTCGGCCGGAAATACGCTCTCATAAATCACACCTCTTTTTAATTAGTACCTACTTTTGTTTCTGTCTGCCTTTTATCTTCTTTTTCTGGAAAAAAAAAATATTACACGTATTTTTTTTCACAGTCCATTTTACTAGAGAAAAGAAAATAAAATTACAAATAAAAAGGGATTAACACAACATGACGCAGGAAGTAGTAATACGTAAGTCAAATATGTTGGCCGACAAGCTAGTTTATGAACGTAGGCTTGTTTTATTCCACCAAATTCGAGGGAATCCAAAACAAGCAACCGCCACCACCAAGTGCATTTAATTGTATATATTTAAGTCGGATTTTGAATTTATTGTGTCTGTTTTAGATTGTTATCAGTTAATTGAACCAATTAAGACTATAATGCTATCTTATCTATATCTATAGTATATTATACTAAGAGAGAAACCAGAGAGAAAAAATAAAAAAGAATTCTAAAAGTTCCACATATGATAAAATTTTATGTGTCATTTTTCTAATGGTTGAGTCAAAAAATATTTACAACAATTATACTAATAGTCCTTCAAATTTTATGTAAATAAAGTTTTATCAAATAGCATTTAAAACTATAGTTAAAAATAGGAAAATAAAAATTAATTAAATTTATTGAACGGGATTAATGAACATTAATGCACCAGAATTATTCTCTCCCTAAAAGAATCCCCAAAGTTACTACTCGACTCATTTAATTAATCTTTCTCTCAAAAAAATCTCCCTCTCAATCATGTAAATCAATAGACTACAATTAAAAAAAAAAAAACCAATCATTCAACATTAATGTTATCTTTAAAATCTTCTCCAAAAAACATGACCCTGTATTTTTCGCCAATAAAAAAAAAAAAAAAGGTACAAAACTTGCCTTCAATCTATAGTATTATACTAAGAGAGAAACCAAAGAGAGAAAACAAAAAAAATTCTAAAGGTGCCACATAGGATAAAATCCTATGTGTCATTTTTCTAATGGTTGAGTCAAAAAATATTTACAACAATTATACTAATAGTCCTTCAAATTTTATGTAAATAAAGTTTTATCAAATGACATTTAAAACTATAGTTTAAAATAGAAAAATAAAAATTAATTAAATTTAATGGACGGGATTAATGAACATTAATGCACCAAAATTATTCCCTCCCCAAAAAATCCCCAAAGTTACTACTGGACTCATTTAATTAATCTCTCTCAAAAAAAAATCTCCCTCCCAATCATGTAAATCAATAGACTACAATTCAAAAAAAAAAAAAAAAACTAATCATTCAACATTATTGTTATCTTTAAAATCTTCTCCCAAGAACATGACCCTGTATTTTTCGCCAATAAAAAAGAAAAAAAAGGTACAAAACTTACCTTCAATTATTACTAAAATGATGGGATTTAACTATAATTAATTGTTATCTTTTGAATTTCAAACCAATGCATTTATTTGTGTAATATCATATCTACCCAAATAAATATATCTTTCCTTAATAATATCTCAAAAATTGTTATAAACTTTATCTTTATCACTGAAATTTTGGATAATCAATTATCATCAATCCCAATTTCTCTCTATTTATACATGCCACACAAACCATGAGTATGTTCCAGTGCTGCAAAAATTTTTCCCTCCCAAAACAAACCGAAATTCAAAGATGAAAGAGCAAAAACTTTAACCCTACAGTTGCTTTGTTGTTCTGAAAGCGATGAACTAATAGTAGGTCGATCGTGTGGCATGGGAGGTAATGATTACTTAAGGTTATATATGATTTTTTTTTCCGTATGTTCTTCTGCAAAATGATGTTCTAGGGTTCTTTTTTAGACGTTACTAAATTTATGTTTTCTTTACGCATAATTTCATTAATTATTATTTTCTATTGTCATAGCAAAAAGAGATTAAAGGGCAAAAATTTTAACTCTACAGTTGGTTTGTTCCTCTAAAATATTAAGTATTGGGCTAAACAGTACCATAAAATCTTTAATTACAACACAATAACTATAAAAATTTTAAACTTCATACTTCAGTCACACATAATCTACCATCTACTATTGCTAATTACTTCATTATGTATTTTACGCGTACAATCATTTTATCTTTTCATTCAATATGTAATCTTAATACAATATTATTTATTTTACTCTGCTTATGAGTGTTATTGTCCAGTTCTTCTCCTTCAAAAAAAATCAAGTGAACACTTGCATTTCAAATGATATGCATTATTTTATCCTTACAATTACGCCTTTATTTAATTTTAGTTGTGTAATGTATCTTAATATGGACTCCAAATACATTTTACACTTTTTATATTTTTTTTGTTGATTTTTTATAATGTATATAAATAAACCCTACACATTGCGCGGGTTTAACATCTAGTTTAATTTAAGCAATGAAAGGATCATGCTCATCCTTTTCTTCGTTGGGGTAGATTACTCTCATCTTCTTTCTTACCCCTCTATTCTGAAATAATTGTTCAGGTTTGCATTTTTAAAAAGTATTAAAACTGAAAAATTTAAACTGAGTAACCATTTTAAGAAGAAGGGAGTATAAAATATCATCTACTCCGTCTATTTTTTTTTATATGTCTTTCTAGAAAATTCATCAAAATTAAGAAGACATTAATTCATTTAGTTAAAATACAAAAATATCCTTATTAATTGTCTACACAATTCATTACAAACCAATAAAAATTCATTATAAATATTATTTCATTTCCAATGCAAGGGCAATTTTGGTAAAAAGTGGTCAAATATGTCTCGATTAGTGAAAACGACAGATATTTAAAAAAAATCATCAAATCCTAATATGACATATATTTCAAAATGGAGGGAGTAACAATTTACATAAATTGGTATCATCGAACTTACAAAAAACTGTCTAAAAGCGAGTCGAGCATGGAGCAACTCCCAATTGTCAATCTTTACTCAAAATTTTTAAAGGCATCTTTTTGACTTGAAACGTTGCAAAATTTTGAAAAACGTTCCAAGTTTTACTTTTACACCTTACCGTGGTGATACTTGTTGGAACTGGGAAGCGGTATTAATTAATAATCACGGTAATAAATTAAAACTAGTAGTACCAGTATGAATGAAACAATAAATATAAGTACGTAAATCGTAGATACTAGATCGTACTGAGTTTAATTTTGGGGTGAAAATGGTGCAGATTTGCAAGAAAGGGGTGGCATAACAGCGACATTTGCGCGCGCTTCCGCTTGTCAGACTTTTATTCCTTCTCACCCTTCACTTCACGTCTTTATTCATCACATTCACGCCCCTTACCAATTCCCCAACTTCACGTCTTTACTCATCACTTTCACGCCCCCCTTCACATTAATATCATCAGTGTGGTTTACCTTTTTCCCCCTTTTTTTGAAACTAATATGAGAAGCTCCAGAGTCAAGAAAGTTCAGCATTTATAGTATTGTGGAAGTCTTTTTTTGGGGCATCAATTGAAACGCCGATAGCTTTTTTCAAGTAAAATTTATAAAAGATCATTTCATCCCGAAATTATTATCCGATTTAGATAACCCATGACGGTGGGAGTATAAGAGTTAACAATCTATTCTCCACACTTTTTAAGTTTAACGTATGACATCTAACCTAGCTATCTTGAAATGCCCTTCAATTAACAAGAGAAAATGTAACAACATATGCTTTAAAAAAAAACAAAATAATTGAATATCCCAAACATTTAAGTTTGCTAATATTTTCCCAATGGGTTGTTTAATTTCAATTTCTTCCTCATCTATCCCTATCTAATAACTAATCTATCCTTCCTATCTAAACCTCCTATGATGGGATTTCGGGAATTTCATATTCATTTCCCAATTTCTATCTATTCACTTTCTTCTCTTTTCAGTTTTCAGACCGTCGAGATGAAATGCAACATGAATGAATGGAATTCTTCAGATTCGCAATCCATTTCCGGGTCGGGTCGGGTAGTAATTATGATGACAAATTAATATGAAGGGTACCGTTCTTGGTGCAGAGACAAATGGGACAAGTTTGCAGGGACGGCCCGCAGCCACCGCACAAACACAGATGCCTGCACGGCAACACCAACACGCTCGCCTCCTCCTTCCCACAATTCCGGCACCTCCTCCCTCCGCCGCCCGTCTTCATCCTCACCGTTTCGATTTCATTGGATAATGGAATAGCCGAATTACCAGCGGGGCCATTCACGTCATTTCCGTCCTCAATCGGATACGACTCTGGATTTGGATTATCATCAATGTTGTTCTGGTTGCTGCCGCAGCACGATTGGGCATCGTCGCACAAGTCATTATTGTCGATTCGATGAACGTCTTGTTCTTCTTGCTGCTGTGGTGGTTGGGCCTGGGATGCTGCGGCGGCGAGGAGAACTTGTTCGAGATTGGTTCTTAAGGCATTGGCGGTTGCCTCGTTGGATTGGGCTAATTCCCTCCAAATCTGATTCTCCACGCACAATGACTTCACTTTCTCTTCCAGGGCCCAATTCAACCGCCCGATTCTCTCGATTTCCTCCTCCTTAGCTCGGAGCTTTTTCCGGACGGTTTCCTCCACCGCCGTTAAGATCCTCCTCGAGTAGCTCTTCCTCCTCTCTTCCATCTCCATTTTCACCTTGACAGTCTGATTTATTGAAATTTTTATCATTAATTAATTACGAACCAAACAAATCAAATAAGAAAATAAAATAAAGAATTGGCCAATCTTGATGATATATGTAAACGTAATTGATCAATACCTGATGGGCGATGAAGCGATCGATTTCGAACTGCTGTTGTTGAATCTCGAACGACATGTCTTGCCCAAGGAAAGTGAAGGAACCGCCGCTGGTATCACGGTGGTGGTGGTGGCTTGGCGGAGGAAATTGAAATGTAGAAGACAGCAACTGTTGATCGGCGGCGGCGGCGGTGGGGTTGTCGTCGTACCGTGGCCGCTTTCTCGGAACAGCGGAGTAGGTGAGGCCGCTATCACGTTCAGAATTCATAGGCATCAGTGGCGCTTTTACGGGCATTGAATCCGCCGCCACCATAGTGGTGGAGGTCGGGGCAGAGCCGCCGTACATGGACGGAGGAAGATGAAGATTAGGAATCAATGAGGCGGTATTATTATTGTTATTGTCCGCCGTCGTAGTCGTGGTGCCTGATAACGGGCCGCCGTAACCCAAAGGCCTCGCTCCTCCGCCGACGCCGTACAGAGTAATATTTCCACCTCCGTTATTCCCATCCATCATGCCGTCTACTACTGTTGTCATCCTGCAATATCCAAATTTCTTCATCATCATTCATTCACTGGAAAATTTCCCCGGCCCCTTTTTTGTCTAACAGAAACCACACAAGAACAGGACAGCTGATTCAATCAAATACAAACCTGCTATTGGTTGGGAAAAGAATCTGAGGAGGAGGGAAAAGACACAGATGCCGAGCTTCCACAGCCATGGCGATAGATGATGATGTATTTGAGATGAAAAAAATCAAGAACAGCAACGCATAAGTCAAATTCTTGTTCTGGGCTTCTCTTCTTCTTCTTCTTTTTTTCCTTCTCTAAAACGTACGATCCTGTTTCCGAAATCTCTTCCTCTGTTTAACTTGTGAATGCCCTTAAATCTTCGTGGGGAGGGATGAATGAATATATGTGAGGAATTTTGGGAGAGAAATATTGGGAAACGAGGAAGAATGAGGATGAGAGGGACTCCAAAAAAACAAAAAGCATGCAGAGTATGGGAGTAGAGTAGTTTTTATATACAAAGGCAAAGGTGGACAAGGCGTGACCGGGGGCATTACACTTGCACAGATTTTCTGTCTTTGTTATTAATTATTATTATTGATGTTTCAGAAATAAAAAATTATTAGTATTATTGTATACTCTATGAATTTATAATACAGAAGAATAAAAATGAAAAGATAAGAAAAATAACTATGTCACACGTTTTTTAATTATGGTATATAATGGTAAGTTTAGTATTGATTGGTGATTAAGGTACTAAAATGAAAAGAATTAAAGATTGATTTGAGGAGAATACCCGGAAGGGAAGGGTTTTAATTAGATTTTAATTTGGTTTGGAAGAACTGTTATAAGAATTGGAAAATGAGATGGAGATTTGGTAGATGAGATAAAAGAAAAGGGAGGGAAGAAAACGAGTGAAAGTAAATTGGCGTTGTTAAACTAATACTAGTAGTATTAATAATGTTGATGATCCTATTAATATGGTGAGAAGATGCGGGGATTAAAAGCACAAAAGGATCGATCTCGACCTTAATTAAATATATACTACAACAGTTAAAAATATATGGTAAACCTTGCCATTACCAGAAGATATATATTAGGAGTAATTAATTTTTAGGTAGAGATGAATCATCATCGTCTCATCTGTTTATTTAATACGAGTAGTAACTGTATTTTTTTGTTTTTTTAGGCAGTACTCCTATTGATTTTTTGTTCAGAAGGTGGGAGAGGTGTGGGTAAATGTGGCGTAAATCTGGTGCTAATAAATTCAGTTAGTGGAGTTACGTAGGGAGTGGGCGTACAACAATAAAACGCCACCCTTTCTGTTCCGTAGGTGTAAGAGATTTGACTTGACTTCTTGTTGGGCTCTACTGCAGCAATTCTCGTCAGTGCCTCCCCTTTATTTCAGGTGATCTTTCTTTCCTCTCCTTTTTTTATTATTATTTTTTTTTGGTTTGGATCTTCATCTTCATTATTCTCGTGGGTTGTTTCGGTTTCCATCTTGTCCTCTCCATGTGTGCGAATTTTTATTTTTTTTATAATTGCAATACGTATTCATCTCCAAATTGATTTATCAGTCTATCAGATTAAGATTGGTCTCTACTTTTCTGTTTATTAAAATTAAATGTTGGATACATTCTTAAACGGGGAAGGAATACACGATTAAGAGTAAAAGATTATATGAGTTGTGATATTAGATTACCTTAACGGCAGAGTCACATAATTCTCGTGCCTCACTTCTCTATTTTAACGTCATCCGTGTATTTAAATTTAAATCTCTGAACGTTTATCTTTTAAAAGGAAATGCGTGCGAAATAGTAGAATCAGATTACTCAAATTACATAATCCATGTTTGTCTTTTACTTGGACTTGTAAATTGTAATGCGCTCCAAAATCACACCGCCCAAATTTTGTTATAATTACAAAAGGTTTGCAATCATAATAATGAGATTGGACATCCAAACCAATTAGCAGTATGTAATGTGAAAATATGTGTTTATATGTATTTATAAGTATTTATACTCCACTCGTCCTATAATTATTGTCTAATTTGAATTTTCATTTTCAATTCAAATTATACTAAAAGTGAAATCTCAAATTGGACAATAATTTTGGGACAGAGAAAGTACTAAACGCTAATTATATAAACGCTAAAAAAGATCTTGGATAATTGGCAATACTATTAATAATTAAATAATGTGACATGTGATGGATAATTGGTGGCCAAGCGTAATGAGTTTTCAAGAGAGAGGTGATGACTGTTGAATTTTGAGTCACTTTATCCCTTTTATTATTACAAAATGTTGTCATTTAGTTTAGTTTTTTTCTTTTTTGCTTATCTCATAGTAGTAAATGTTAGAGATAATAATTAAATAAATTTGGTTAAAAACTGCAAAATGCAAATATATCCATTGCAAAAGGCCACGTAAAAAAGGAGGAGGAAGAGGGGGTGGGTCACGTGTGAGAGTGAGGTGGGATGGGGGATGATGGACCAGAAAAAGAGGGTCAACAGTTCTCTCATCTCTGCTGTTTCTTTGTTGCTGTGCTGGGTCGTTTTGGACTTTTTCATTTATGGACCTTCGGGGGGGATAGTGTACGGTGTCCTTTCATTCCGCTGTTTCGGTTGTCACCCCCTCTCTTTTTCTTTTTTTTTTTCTGCTTTTTTTAGCATCCATTTTGGGAGCCCTCCCCCGAAGGAAGAGGACAAACCCCATCGTTTACGTCTTTAATCTCTCCCTCATTATTATTGTACAAAGATTGAAATTTAAAATTAAAAAAGAGGGCCTTCAGTCCCGCATGGGAAACGCTCTCTTCCTTCCTTCCTCAATCCTCATCATCCTTTTCAAAGGCTTTAACTTTTTTCCTTACACACACGTGGTTTATTCTTACCCCTCCTTCTTTAGTGCTGCTGTTATTGTTTCTTTTGTTGTGTCATCTCTGTATTTTTCTGCATCATCAACATTTACGGGGTGTTTTTTTTATTTTCCCCTTTCTGCCCTTTTTCTTTCTTTTTCCCTCCCTGTTGAAACTCGTGATTATTGTTGACTGTGTTTCTTCTTCAATTCCAAAAACCCAAAAACCAACTAGCTTTCTTTTCATCAATTTTCACGGCCAAATCTATCATATTCACTCATACATCGTCTTCTTGTGTCCTCTTTTTGTGTTGTCTAATTAGTAGTTCGACTTTTCTATAAATATAAATATGGAACGATCAAATCTCACTTATGATTCTCTCCCCAAACTGAGTAGCAACAATAAAATACGAAAACAAATTTATTGAAATGTGCCGGTGTTCAATGTTTAAGGGTATGTTTGTTAATTTCGAAAAAACTAAACAAACAAAGCCTAAGTTATTTGTTTGATACTCTAAACTCCAAACTTTTCTCAAAAGAAATTAATTTGTGCCATACTTCTTCACGTTCTGCAAGGATGCTGCTGCTGACATTAAATACATACATTACATACAAAACCTCGGTACTCTCAATCTTCCCTCCCCCCGGCCAGTTACGTGGGTGCCAAGACGTGATTTTCCTCGTTCCCCTAAACCCACGCACTCGATCAACTACTAGTGCTAGTTAATTTTAGTTAATTCTGTACGGACGATGCTTCCAATGTGAGTTTAACCACTTCTAATCCCATGCATCTTCACGGACAACAAAATCTATGCAGCAGCTTTGCAAATTAGTGCTCTACAGATTTTTCAATTGTTTAAAACCCATGATTATTAAATTGATTAATTGGGTCCTTTGATTTGGACAAAATAGGCTTGAAGAACTGCTTATGGGTTATTTTTATGAATTTCCATAGTTTTTTTTATCATGTTATCGAGGAATTAGCTAATTTTTAACCAAGAGAGTAAAATTGTTGAGAATATTGATATTGAGCCCAAATTCTTTGTCTCATATTGAAAGATGGAGACTCTTGAAACTAATGTATAATCACGTGTGCTACTCTCTTTATCACCAATTGATTTTAAGGTGGAACTACATGTGATCCTATATATAGGCTTTCAAGAAAAATTGTTAAATTGACCAAAATAGCTCAAACTCAATGATGATTTGTTTGTTACAGTAACATTCTAATGCAGGCTTGCATTCACCGATGCGGCTCCTAGACAAAAATAGCTATAATTACGGAGACAAACCCAAAACCAAAATCATTAGAATCCTAGTTACTAGTAAACAATTACGATAAATTTTATACTAGTTCCTATATTGACTTTGACCATGTCACTGTGTGACACTGTGTGTTCTTAGCCAAAGTGATGGACCGGATTTGAGTGGACACTGGACAGCGCAAATCAAGACTCAGTACTAACATCTTCTCCAACTCCAAATACGAGATATACTACAGTACTTAAAATGTTACGTAAATACAAGCCTAAACGAGAACCGCATTTATGGAATTATACGAGCTCGTGAAAATTGTCTCCGAAAATGAACCTTTTTGGAGTTAAAAAATGCTACATAGGAAATGTGTGGAAACTCCTAAACGAGTTCTGCGTTTACGGAATAGAAGTGTACGTTACTACACAAATATCATAAAGTGAAAAGACCAAATACGAAATGTTAACAATGTTTTTTTTTAAATACTAACAATGTATGCCTACTTTTTATCCAAAATAATAATAATAATAATAATGTATGCCTACGTTTACGAAGGATTTATAAAACTGTTTACACATAGAAAATATGAAAAATTGTCACCGGCCGGGGAAACAAACAGATTATAAACCCGAGGCTAACCAATGTCTACTTAGAAAATGTGAAAGAAACGTACGTACATTAATTACGAGTTCGGAAATCTTGTACGCAACGTGACTTACTACGGTGAAAAAAATAAATGTTAACAAACCAGATAATTAAATTAAAGAGGTCGGGTATTCGATCCTTACATTACTACGGTGAAATTCAGTATCATCATCTAATTCCAATTACTTTGATTTTTTTTTTTTTTTGGATAAAAGAAATAAAAAGAACATGCATTTACAATCTTTGATCAGAAGCACAGATTCTTCATTTTCCCAACAAGAAATTTGGATGCCTCCCTGCGTCCTGGCCCCGCTCTCCATCCTTTTTTTCCCCCTCCCCATCTGATCAAATACTGTACTATACTAGTAGGAATCCACAACAATCCCATTACAAATTTTGATTCAAAAAAATAATTATGTTACCATTTTCTTTTTCAATTTTTAGCATCCACATATGAGAGGTGTCACCGAATTTATTTGAAAAAAAAAAAAGAAGAAAATTGGTTTTCATTTTGAAAAAGAATATTTGTGGTCGCATAAGCCGATCCCTGATTAATGGCCTCTATTTGACTAGGAGCTTAGAAACTTCAACGGCTATAGCTCATGAATTTATTCATAATGTCAATCTATTGCCGTGATCGCATGTATATAGATCACTTATTCAAATTTTGATGAGTATTCCCTCTTAATTAGGTCTCACATTGATAGAAACTTGCTTG